ATTTTAGAAATGAGAGTCTGCCTTAGGGGTGTCGCCTCCCGGGACGTAGCTCCGCAGAATTGATAGCGGCGGGTTGAGTAGAACTTAAAAATATATTTGTGAATTTCAAGTATTTTTTTTTATGTTAGTGTTAATATTGTCACCTTTATTGGTGAGTTATAATACCTACAAGTATTATTAGGGAATTAAATGTTTATTTTAAAACTATTCTATTTATTAAATTAAAATTATTCGGTTTTTAAAAACCGGTTCATAAAAAAAATAATAAGCGATATGTTAATGTCCATATTACGTTTTCCTGTTTGAAACAACTCGTGGAATAATATAAAGTCGGGAAAAAGCCTAACGTCTGCGAATGATGGACGGCAGTTCGGTTTCAAATTTACATAATTCAACAAAAATCCGCCACTTGAAAAGCAAAAGTCAGCACGTTTTTAAGTGGATTTAGTTTGCCTTTTCGTTTCGATTCCTGCTGTTGGGGAAGGCGGCGTGGGGCGGCTGATATTTGAACGAGGGGTGGGAACCGATTATATATGGTTACCGATGTAGAAATTTGGATCGAACTTTATATGGGAGAGCGTGATAAACTGATCGACTCTGGTATATATTTATCGCTTCACTATTTTAATCGGTTTTCCATATTCTTTTTAAGGGCAAAGGGCAGGGGGGCGGTGGCGACTATGCAAAGAGAAATTAATATGATGTGAAAAACAGCAATCAATATTTACACCAAAAAAAAGTCAACGACTATGGCATTTATTCAAGCTATTTTTTGGGGTAACCCAAACCTGGTCTATCAAGTTGATCGGGTTACAGGTCCGAAAATAAATTGAGTTGATCAGTTACACTGGGACAGCATCATACTTAACATTATTTGCAAGTTATCAAAGAGTTGGTATCAAAAGTTTATTTCAGAAGCGCTTATGGGTTGGGTTCCTGTCTAGAATATTCTATTGAGATTAGTTGCTCCATTTGGTTGGTTTCCCTGCAATGCCTTATCCCAATTGAACCGTTTTGATATTGTTCTCTAGATCTCAATTTTCTGGTTTCTCTTCAATAATTTATCCATCTGGGTAATGCATTATTATCTGATCGCCAACTCCCTATTGGTTGATAAACAGCTCCGTTTACCCCAGGCAACTATGATTTTAATTTTAATTATATTCGAAGTTTTAGTTACAACCATATTTTATTATTTTACATTTTCGCTATACAGATTATAACTAAGTACCCACTATAGCTCTAATCCGTTGCCTTGCCAATCATGTAACTATTTTTGAGCATCCAGGTCGATATCCCTATTGTTTCTTGGTGGTTATTTATTAAGTGCTCTCTACTAGAGAATTATACATAAGTGTTTCCTATTTTTAAAATGCAATATAAACACATAGATGACCACAATTTTGGCATATCCCAATAGAATTTGAGTATAAATATTTAAATGTTTCTTTTAAATTTGCGCATGATTCTTAGTGGGTGCAATGAAACAATTTTAACAACGTCATAAATTTGCTTATGGTCACAGCATTGAAGTTTTTAATTTTTTTATTCCACTCTGTGTTGTATACACACGAACACACTTTTATACGAAGTGGAAAAACTGATCGGTAAACAATATGGCAAATAAATTTTCATTGCATTTCATTCTCCATTACGTTGGTTTCTCCGAAGGTGCTCGAAAGTTTCTGTGTTCCTTTTTGTCAGGTCGGACACAACGGGTTGTCTACAATCAGCAGCAGTCATCGTTCCTAGGTGTTCGCATGGGTGTTCCACAGGGCAGTATTCTTGGTCCCTTGTTGTACACTATTTTTACTTTTAACTTCATTGGAGCCCTCCACCAATGCAATGGATGACACTCAAATTTACTGCTCATTTTTTCCTCAAGAAATAGCTACCGCGGAGGATGTCATCAATACTGATTTATCCATTTTTTTTAACATTGCAACAAATCATCTCCTAAAGCTTAACCCTAATAAATCTTCAGTAATACTCTTTGGAAATGATAATCATGTAACCCATGCAAAGTATAACATAACAATTAAACTTAATAACATAAAATTGCCACTCTCTGAGTCATGCAGAAGCTTGGGTTTCACTCTTGATTCGCAGTTACGTTTCAGAGAACATATTACTAATAAACTAAGGGTTGCCTATGCTAATTTCAAATTAATTTATGGCAATAGACATGTACTTTGTCAGGAAACTCGTAAGTTGCTGTCTGAATCACTTGTTCTGTCACAATTTAATCACTGCAGTGCTGTGTAGGGACCGTGCCTGGATGCGTCCGATCGTTACCCTGTCCAGAAGGTTCAAAACTCCTGTCTAAGGCTAATTTATGGGGTAAGGAGGAGAGATCATATGTCCCCGTACCTTGCTGCGTCGGGTTGGCTGAATATGCACCTTCAATGCAAATTACGAATGACATTCTTAAAACAAAATTACCTTTTTATCTTTAGAGAAAAATTACTCTTAACATATCAATACACAATTTGAATCTGCGTGGTAAACACCGACTAGTTATACCCCGTCACCGCAAAGAATTATTTAAAAGATCATATTCCTATAATATAGCCATTTGCATTAACTCTATTACTAATTTTGATATTAATCAGTCCAACTCGACGTTTAGGAATAATTTCAAAAAGCAGTTGTTACGTACGCATTAATATTAAGCTCTTCTACAAAACATGTGCCCCTTTCCTTTCCTTTCCTTCCCCCTCCATTTCTTCTCTTTTCTTTAGAATGATGTGTATCTACGCTTGGCGCTTTCAAATAAATTCTATGAAATGTTTTATTATTATATTTTCGCTGTTAAATCGAGGCCTGAACAGTATCTAGAACTTCTAGATGGCTGCCCTAACAAGGCCTATTGTTGACCATTATTTAACTTTGGTTATGTAATTATTTCTATGTAACTTTGATGGTTATAACAATAAATGTATTATTATTATTATTATTATTATTATTATTTGTACACTAAAAATGGAAAATACAGATTTCGGATGAAATCGTATCACCTAACAAAACGCAATTTCTTGTAACCGAATTCTGCACGCTTGTACAACACGCAAAAGGCGAAGATCGAAATTCTTTCGGAAACTTAAGAATACATTTATCAAGAAAACGAGATACGTCACCAAAAATCGCGCGGCGAAAACAGGGGAAAAGATGACTTCGAAAACTCGATCAATCATCAACGTTTTGTGCGAAATTGAAAATTTTATACGTGATAAAACATTTTTCTTTCGATGTTATTGAGTTCGACGCAGGACGTTTTGCTACTGTAATCAGCCCCGTTTTCACCCTACATTTCCATTTGCAGATAAAATGGAGACAAATACGTTTTATACATTTTGATTTTGCATGGACGATGTTGCGTAAAAAAAGCCATTTTCTAAAAATCGACTTGAAAATCCGCTGTTGATGCAATAATACCCCCGCGTCTTAATGAAAATACTTAATACTAGAAAGCAGACATCGTGGATTTTCGTGGGGCTCATCAAAGCCTTCATTTACAAACGTTAAAACGTTTAAAACAAGACGAAGGCCCCCCGTCGACATCCATTAGTGAGGACCCCCTAAATCCCTTATACAATTCTCGTGCTGTATATTGCCAATGTTCTATAATTAAAACAGATGTATATTTTTCGTAATGGAATACGCAGAGCCCTCGTTTTTCTTCCTATAAAAGCCACCGAGACTGTATGCAAGTCAAAAAACGCCCAGTGGCGTCTCTCAGCCTAGCTCGTTCCCTAAAAATAACTTGGTTAATAATTTCCTGGATAAATTATACTATCTGTAAATGATACTTTCCTTCATAAACTATAGTCTCAAAGAGAAAGTTTGAAAAGTAAAATTTCTTTGAAAAGAATCAATATTATAAATTACTTTTGTGTTGTAGGTTTTAGATATTTCATTTATGTTTAGCATTAGCCATACTTTTAAAGACAAAAATGTTACGCTTGCCTTTTTTTTCTGCAATAATTAAAAATTCTTTAGAAAAAAAATCTTTCATATTGTTCAAACCTTACGAAAATTATTTCAGCAGCTCGTTTTAGTTAAAAGTGACCATTAGCCAATAATTTTTGTATTAATCATAATGTAGTAACATCGTTGATGTTTCCCGCTTTTGCATTGTTCAATAATTACGTTAATTTTATCGAAACGGGGCTTTACTCAAAATCAGACTATAGCAAAAACAATTTAATATAGATATTTCCAAATTGAATGGATAATTTAAAAACAAATGTTGTTCGCAAAAAAAGCATTTTTGTTCGTAAAAATTTAAGTTGCTTAAAAGTTTTCATGCCAAAATTGTATATTATGCAACAAGATCTATAAACGCTACTTTAGTCATCAGTTTAAAACGTATTTCATTCTATACTTTTTCAATGACTATTAATTTTTGGGTTCATTTTTGCAAAATACAAAGTACCATCCCTGGCTAATACCTACTGAAAACATCGATTACTCCCAAACCAGTGACTAAAGTATCGCAAATTTCTAAAGTGGCTCGCGACTTTAAGTAAGAAAGCTGACGCTTTCAGCACGCATGGGTGGAGAAACTTATTTATTGGGCATAGATCGGAATAATTTTTTATTTAGTCATATGTCTGCTCAGAATCGTCTACGGTATCCAGCGAATTTGGTTGGATATTTCATCGGCAGTCATAAAGGTAACGACCAAGTGTGAACACTACGCATTTTTTCTATTATGTTTTTTAAAAGAAATTTGTTTTAATTGGCTTTGGAAAGGTCTCAAAAATGAAATCTACTGTATGGTGCAATTTAAATGTCACGTAGTTAGTAGAAGACGTTTATTACCTTATAAATTATTATACTGCGGCTGAGTTAAGCCATAATTAATACGCCTACAACATCTTGCGTTTCAATTTTGAATTTGTAAAAAGTTTAAATTAACTTCATGTGACGATATTTACGCCACTTTTTCAATGATTTTGCTAAAAACAATTAGTCAAACTTATTTCCTCCTGTTCCAGGTTAAGGGAAGAACGTTGCGATCCCGATAGACCTTTACCCCTAGATCAAAAGCCGAGGACGCTTAGTAGTCCAAGGAACGGTAAGTTTTAGAATTGTAATTATAATTTATAATTTCTTTCCTTCTATCCATTTCCTGCTTCTTCACTTTTTTTTAACCACTCATGTATAACACATTTGTGTATCCGTAGGCTGCAGGGCCCTCCTGTACATGATTATATATATATATATATATATATATATATATATATATATATATATATATATATATATATATATATACATAAATAATGAATTTTTTGCTTACGACTGAAAATTCATGATTTTGTAATTGCGCTGTATATCACATATTAATATATACAGATAACCATTACGGGTCATCTGCAGCTAACATATTTGCATTCTAAATGTTAAATTACTTCAGCAATATTAATTTTAATTGGTGTTTTTTCAACTTATAAAAATGGAAATTAATATCTCGAAAACCGATATGTTTTACAAAAATGATCTGGAAGTGGTAGCGGTGTGGAAACTAGGTAGGTGTTTCATTTAAAGAAAAACCAATTTAGTTGTTACTTTTCGGAAAAACTGCGACACTAAGAATATTTTAGTTTAGTTTTAACAAAACGTCGAATCTTCCATTGAACGTGAAACATCCTGTATACGCATATAAATTTTTTTCAATAAGAAAAAATATTTAATTTAAAAAACTAGAAAATTTGTATATAACAATACTATCATAAACTGTCATCAATATACAGGCAGATTGTTAATTTTTCATGTAAGGGCTTATGGTATGGAACGTGCGGAGCCCATATTTTTATCATCCATACTTAAGTTTTAATTCTGATAGAGATCGATGCAGCGTGTGTTAAGAAACCTTGTCTGGCTAGTAACTAAGAAATTAATACATAGAATACTGAACAATATGTACGCTACAACTCTCATACCACAAATAAAAATATTGACAACTCACATACTCACATACATTGCAGGCCACCTAAATTTGAATGAATAATTTAAAAAATATATATAAATAAACAAAGAAAACTAATTCTTGTAACTTTGGTAGATGTTGAGATCTGATAATGGGACGTTCCAAAAAGGCCACCCCGTTTGTTGAGCCCTGATATTTTGTTCCTAAATGAACTCGGCGAAAAAAAAAGTGAAATAACTCAATTCCAAAATAATTTCGCTCCATTTTCTGCCAATAAATCAGCAACAAAAAAGGGCTTTTCAGATTAATGTCCGGTCAGTTCAAAACAAGAGACCGATCTAAATCCGTTTTATTTTCTGCATATGCGTATTTAATTGTGACCCCGCTCACGGCCCTGGTAATTTATTACCCCGATGGATCGCTTCGAACCGCGTCCGAAACTCCAAATCCCACTTTTACGATCATTAATTAAACGGACATTTGAGATACAGAAATGCCACGCGGTCGATGCTCTAGGATTTCTTTATTTCTCGTAATAATTTCGGTTTCGGCGAGTGTTAGTTAAATTCGAATAAATCCTGATCAATTCATTCTCAAGTCATATAGTAACCTAAAGCTTTATATAATACATCCAGTTTCCAGATTTCGATGTTTTTTAAATACCAGACCTCTGCTACATCTTAATGACGTCTATTTCAGCTATCAAAACATCGTTCAAAAGGAGCAAATACAGATTATACATACACAAAGTAAAAAGCTAAAATTATTTATTTATAATAATTGTCTCCATATGGTAACTCTTGTAGAAGCAAAAAGAAATCATATTAAATGTTCGTGTTCTTGGAGTTTGGCAAGGACTTCTAACACAACTTCCAATTTCAAAGACTAAACAAGCCTTGGAATGTTTTTTGGAAGTTCTGTTGAGTCAAGTGTCCTTTATACTGGTAGATGAAACATAAAGCCATTACGAAAAATTGTTCTATCTATCTATGTCCAAATATCAAAAATGCTTAGCTTAGCTAGTTGCAAAGATAGTTTTCCTTATTTCAGTTTTTAAGACCTACACACCTCGAATGAATGAAATGAAAGTAATGACTGCAGCGTTACTTTCATTTAGTTTATTAGAATTTTACATGATTATAACTGTAGAACTTGACAGATAATTGTAATATTAATTATTCTAAGATCAGGTAAACAAAAACTTATATAAAAGAATAATATGAAATATTATTTTTTAAAAATATACTAGTTACAATACAATTTCATTTGTAAATTTATTTTATTCATTATGTTCCGAGTGGTCAGGAACTATAGTCGTTGTAATCCATAGAAATAATTAGTGACTGTACAGTGTTTCCTAGAATGTTATCAGCTTCCCACATTCTTTCTTCTATTTCAATCACATGTTCGACCCACTTACTCCATTTTTCACAATCCACTATCTTAAAAATAATTTTCAGTTTTGAGTTTTTTCGTAGCGAAGATTCAATTCCTTCAAAGGTTTCCACAATTTCTTCTTACCCATGGGTGGAGTGAAATCGTCCTTTTTGAGTTCAGACATTATTCTGTCCAAGCTGGGTATTTCTTTTTTTAAGTAAAACGAGTGACAGTATTTTCATCTCCATTTATAACAGTTTCTTTTCTTCCTGTACTTCTCTTTATACACGGGTTTATCCGCTTGCTTGGTTTATTTTTTCTGATAATTTTGGAAGCTATAGAAGACACTTGAGTCTTGATGTCACACAAATGAACTCAGCAAAACATAGTATAAACAAGAGTCTTGTGTTCAATTCTTTTTTTTATGTATGCACTTCGAAGATTTCTTATCAATATTACAGGAAGATTTGAAGTACATCCCGTCAGTGTATGGATCAGTGTATGTACTTTGGGTTGTCACTTAGCAAAGTAGGCTCTGATTTTAGGTCTCTGTTAGTTCTTATTTTTACATTTGAATTTTGCAACTCCGAATGTTGAGATTTTGTTGCGAAGAGTTTTGTACCTTTTGTCAATCTTTTCTCAACAATAAACTCAGAAACATTAGCTAGTTTGATGAACGCACTTTGCCAACAACTATTTTAACTACCTGTCCATCAACCTATCACCCTCGGGACCATTGACAATCCTCATAAATACAATATGGAATACAGCTAATGCAACTGAGTTTTATAGTTGAATAATGACTTATAACTCTCTCTCATTAAGACACAAATAATTGTAACAGATATTTGTTTTTATGCGTAACTGTACCCAACAAACATCGAGATCAATTTATGTTAAGCACAATTAACTTTTAATATCTACCCTTGCACGTTAGCGTCGGTCATTTACTTGTCGTAGTCAAGTTTGAATGACCTTTTCATTTGCTTCCTGAGTAACTTAACCAACTGCACCCGAGACTTTACTACTGCGTGTAGAATAGGAGATTCATAAATGAATCTCGCAGGCAATCTTGCATATTGAGAAAGCCATTTTTTTAAGCAAGCTATTTCATAAGCGATGGGATGGCCTATATTTTTATCGCATTTCTTTACCAAACCTTTGTGCATTGAAAAAACTTTATTTCCACAATCTTTCGCACGTTTCGGAAGTTTGTCATCCGCATCTTACTAGTACCTAAAATGCCAAATTTGCGATGATATTACAACATCCTGTACCTAGTCATTGGACGTGATTAGATTGCTGTTTAATATAAACAATGTTTTGTATTGTTCTAGGCTCACCAACTGATCACAGTCCCGTGCTGAATCTGTCGAAGAGCGGCGGAGGCAGCGCGGGATCTCTGGGCGATAACGATCATTCCGGTAGCGAAGCGGATGGCCCAGACGTGCCTCCTTCCCCCAGGTCGCCAAGGTCGGCCGCCGACGACGACGAAGACGATAACATATCGGACGTCGAGGACGACGATGACAAGGATCAAGGTAAAGTCTGTTCATAGATATAAGAAAGTGACTAACTGATACGAATTAAAGACCCGGGCAAGCTGGAATGAAATATGGCCGAACAGGTCCGTACTTTGCTTAGAATTTAATTATTTGGGGTTTTGTTGGGAAATATACTAAACAATATTTATTTATTTATGTTTGTATTTATGTTTAAATCTAAAATAAAATTACAAATTATTTTTATTACCTACTTAAATTACTTCATCTTATTTACATAATATATCAGTATCACTATCGCTATCGTCGCCTGTTCTAATTATTATTTGTTCTATATTATTTGCAATATATATGTTTAACAGAATTTGCCCAACTTTGTGGAGGGATATTAAAAACTTCGGTTTCTATAAGTTTGAGGACATTGGAGTTAACAAGGGGAAAACATTGTTACGACGAATGGCAGATTTCAGTTGGTGCCAAACGTGTTTAATATAATTAAATATACAGTGGTAAAACTGTATGCCCTAGATTTTTTGCATAATTATCACAGACGTATTCCTTTTGTGGGTTCTAGCTTTGTAGAACCTCAATTAATTGCTTTTTGGTATAATCTTCGTGAAAATAAATGTCGTTATTATACATGTAGTTTTTTGATTATCGCTTTTGTGTCACATGAGGACGGGGTTTTAGTCAACTGTCTACTGTGATAACTTGCATTGTCCATTACAATGACGCTATTAGGAGGAATGTTTGGAACTAGTTTGTTTTTAAACCAACTTTCAAATAAATCAGCGGTGTTGTCTTCATGATAATCCAGAGAAGAATCTTTAATGTTTTTCACAGACAGAGAAAGTCCATTTGGAATCCAACCATCTTTAGAGCCAGCATGCAAAATAGTTGTTTGATGGCGCGTTTGTTTTACACTTATCAGTCAACCCAACCCTTTTCCGGGGTATCATAAGTGTCGAACCAGGTTTCATCCAAGTAAATATGTTGAAATTTTCGTCAATGTGGCCGTTTCTTCTAAAGATGCTTGCTTGCTGGCACGACGTTCAATGAGTCAAATAAAGATTGTTTATAACTTCCTTAGTCTCAATAGAATAGTGTTTTCTAAATTTGGTCGGGAACATCTCCTGAGATACACTAGACTCGAAGATATTTTGCATAATTCGCACACGATTCAACACACACGAAATAGGAATGATTACTAATAAAATTAAACTAATTAGTATACCAAACCAAACAATATTAAACACAGGTAGGTATAAAATTATTTTCTATTACGGACCACTAGAATTTAAATTTCGAAACGTGAAGTAATAATGTTATTGGATTGTATGTTAATGACCGCCATTGGATAATCCCTTTCAAAAGCAATTGGTCACTTTCTTATATCTATGAACAGACCATACGTTTTATTTTGCTGTGCCCCGTCTCTTCTTCCTACAAAAACATTAAAGAAAAATGAAATTTGTCTACTGGTATAGTCGGTACGATTTGTGATGTCATAGTTGGCAATAAAATGCCAGACAAAAATATATAGATTGATCATCTTACTTCCACCTATACTTCAACAGATGTTGTTCCGCCCTAAATGTCTATCTGATCAATGCGAGACAGCCGTCACTAACGATCACGAATATATTACTTGGGAGTAAGAGAGACAAAGTCAGTAGTACTTGGCATTTATTAATTTAACTAGTATGCCCATACTTAGAGATGAACTCATGTATGTAATAATAGATCTGGGTGTTCCTTATTGATATGAGAATATTTGAGTAGGTGAATCTATATGAAAAAATTATGATATTTTGTTAAATATACTAATGTTCAAAAACCGTGTCCATGCAATAAAAATTAAAGCAATACAAAAAAAAATCAGAAAATAAAAAAATATATATGATATGTTTGTATTTACGACGAAATATTTTCAACATCGGAGCCAAAATTGGAATTGCTACTACCAGAAAATGATCGTCTACATTAATAAAAAGTGGTGGTAGCGTTATATCTACTATTCTTTTATTATATTTTCTGTATGTGTTATACAACTTTTTCAATTTTATTTGTTAACAGTCTGGAGAGCTGCCTTCCAAACAGATACTACTGCAGTATCATCATGCCTTGCCTCACTTACAATATTTTTATTAAACATATTTTGCACTGAGCCCACATCAATTCTAAGGCATTCATACAATGGTAAGAAGGCAAATCTTAAAACTTATTATTTCGTCTATAGCATACGGCAAGCTTTTTTTTTTAAATTTTGACAATTTTTAACAACTCACATTTTTGACCATTTTCTGGATAATTAATCGGCTTACTGCGCAGACAATTGATGATTTCTTCTTTCTTGCCCTTGCATTTGGTACACTTTCATTAATTCTAGAATGATATCGTGCATTATCCATAATAATTAATGACGGCCTTTCGAGTTTCGGCAAGCAGTTTTGTAGTGGAAACACTGTAAGTATAAGTATACACTAGCAGGTAAATGAGTGGGTTTTGCCATTCTCTCTTGGTTTTATGACCGACTATATCATCGCAAATCGTACCGACTATACATAATGTAATGTTGGAATAATGTGTTCATCATACAGTGTGGTCATTTTGGTGTGTAACATATGGAATTTTTTTACTAACTGCTCAATATTTACTATTGGTAATACGTACTACTCGTAATTCTAAACAACTTTTCTGAATAACACTTTGCTCAATTTTTTGAAATAAGGATATCTTACTCTTGTGCAATTTGTGTATGTGTGTCCTACCCATTATGCAAACATTTTAAGTGCACCTAATGTGACCATGGCAATTGCACCAACTTTTGGCAATATTAATATTTTACTTGTGTAGTTAGTAAAAAAATCCCATATATTCCGCACTAAAATGACCACATTGTATATCTCGGTAGAAATGAAATAAACTGATAGCACATTTATTTCCAATTTTACAAAAAAAAAAAGTAAGTACCACATCAAATTTTGCTACCTTAACGATTTGCATTCTAACAATGGACTGGCAATGGATTAACGTGCGTCTATAATTGGGATTCAATAAACGCCTCCAAAATTTTAATTACAACATGGCTTTCTTAGTTTGACGTGTTAATTATATCCCATCCTTATTAACAAGGCAGTCGTTAACTGAAAATGTATTAATCAATTTCTTGTGTCCGTACGTTATACTACGTACTCGGTATAGCGGCATAAAATACGGCCGTTTAATTTATATGTTTTTCCCATGAGAAAAAATGTTACTCGAATGTTAATATTCAGCGAAAGATCGATGGTGTCTTAACTCGCTTGTTTTATGAAATATGATAGGTTGTGTCCCAGAGGTCACAATGTAGACTGGTTAAATGGTTTAATAGAAGTTATTGCAGTGCTAGGACAAATTAAACGAACGAAAATCGAAAAAAAATGCCAAATATAGTATTATAGTATATAGTAAGTTTTGAAAGGAATATAAGCATATACTGACTATTTTTAGAAAAAAATTAGGCTTTAGGATTTTATTTTAAAATATAGAGCACTTCATTAAATCAAGAAAACTGTATTTACAATTTTTACATTACAGGAAGTTCTCGGAGATAAACTTTTACAACGTTTGTATTTTCAATTTTTTTATTTAACAAACAGTACAGACAAGCTCTACTAGTAACTGTGTGAGTGAGTTTGATATTCGAAAACGAATAAAGCGAGTTTGGAGCCATCAGAGGTTTTCTGTGGCCGGTCGTAGCAAAAGCATAGCATGCAGTACATTTATAAACTTCGTTTATTAAACACTCGCTCCGTGGTCTCGTGACTAAAGTGTAATTGTTCTATAAATAATAATAATTATTGCTTGTAATAGTCTCTGTATATATGGAGTGAAGTTATAATCACACAGTGTGTGCCTAATTCAAACTAGTTTGTTATAACAAGATGTGCGTGTAAATTGGTGGTGATGATGGTGGACACCTCGCAACCACCTCATTAATTACCACCACTTTTTGAACGATTGCCCTCAAGTAAATAGCAACAGCAAATTGACAGAGACTTATTATTCCATTACTTAATTGTCTGTCATTTCTGTCTATTATTTATTCGACAGTCGTTTGTCAAAACCGCATATTATTTTATTGTAAATTTGCTTTTATGGATTATCGGTGTTTTTTGAATTGCGTTTCATGTCACCACCACCTTGAATTTGATGGTTTTTAAGGGAATTGGGGGTGTATATCAATCATAACGAGCGATATATACGTATAAATTATAAAACATTGCTTTTCAAACCATTGGCGTCGGGGCTTTTATTTTCAGGGTACATTGTTTTTGTTTTCAAACTCAAAGTAACTAAACCAATGGTCCCCATTTATCTATATTCTTATTATTACCTAACCTAAGAATCAAATTCGAATTTGCGTAATTTTTTTTCAGATATGGACGAAGGCGATTTACCTTTACCTTCAGTGCCCTGCAGCGACCCCCAACAAACCGCCCTAAACTACTCGACGTTGGCAAACGCGGTTGCAAATGTTAACGGTCCAGTGGCGGACTCTGGCGGCATCTCGTCAACGGAAACCTTACTGAGAAATATACAGGGTCTCTTGAAAGTCGCTGCAGACAACGCTCGCCAGCAAGAGAGACAGATCAATTACGAAAAAGGTACAAATAGTAACATGGTTTACCTGCTGAGTCTGGCGCAATATTATATATATCTTGCGGCAACGCACAAATCTTGAATTTAATCCGGTAAAACAACGGGTTCGCCGCCAAAGACCGTATTGTTTATAGCAAAAAGTATTTAGTGTTTTTTAAAATTTTTGAACAAAAATATTTTTTTAAATATTTAACCCATTCGACGTCTTTATAAATTTGAATAGTAAAATGTCTTGTAATATATTCGTTTCTCCAATCATTTACTTGTATCCGATAGTAAAAATAGGTTTTTATGTAAATATGCAAATTTGTCTCGATCTCCAAGAGTAATTTAGACTCAAACTTGAAGTAGCTTTACCCGTGTATAAAGAATGATTAATCGCCTGCAAAAACCATTTTGTAAATTATAATATACGCACTTATTGAACATATCGATTTACTCTTTGTATTTTGCACAGGCAACCTTTGCGAATGTGTATATAAATTTGAACGATTTTATACACACCGTGTCAAGTAAAATAGAATGGAATGGCTATCTGGGAGACTGAGTAGATACAGAATATAGTAAAAATTAAAGTTGTCGCTGAAGCAGTCACACCGGGTCGCATGAATTTCCTAAATGAGTACCACGTACAACAGAAAAAGCAAAAAATAAAAGCACAAAATTTGTTAGAATGTACAGTTGCCGAGATACTAGTTGCATTCAATTTGACGGTGACACTGGATCGTACTAGCTGAAAATTTCATTAACTATTAACACAGTCCGTACTGAAATCGATTGAACTACGGAGTAAACCTCGTATACGAAATTTACGGGGACGCATCCAAATATTTCTCTGTGTTAGTAAGATTTTCAGCAGATTTTCGATAATGTGTACAGATAAGGGCACACCATAAGAATTATGGAACTGACCCATGTGACAGTGATGGATTTTTTATCTGTCAGCTGGCTTTTTAGTACATATAAATATAAATGTGCCATTATTGTTAGAGTAGATCGTTTAATTTAATTTGAAAAAAATAGATAATTTATTATAATTTGGTTTAAAATATTTATAACATAGTGAATACGAGAACGAAAATTTTGATATATTCGCTATACCCAATGCCCATTTTAAATAAAAAATGACCCGGGATGGATATACCAAAATTTTCCTTTTACACTAAAAGATCGGTAAATATGTTACTGTCATTTCATTAGACTAAGCTATACTTATGTGTGATGTAAACTGTTAATATTTCAAAATTAAAATAAACAAAATTATTGAAATTATTTCGTCGTTTTGATTTCCTTAAAGCCCTATACAATTGCGAAAAATGAGTCATAGGTAGGTGGCACTTTTATTTATTTACGGTTTGTATTTTGTGTTTGAATGAATTTTGTTGTGTAGACGACTAACAGATATTAAAATCCAAAACTGTTACAGTTTCAGTTGCCAAAAATTGAGTTATTGCAATACACATCAAATAATCTGTTGGGCGTGAAAATCTGCATGCGAACCATTTTTAAATAGTGAACAAATTGATAATAACGTGGATAAACTTCGTTGTGTACGAGATCCAGGATAAACATATATGAGTTTGTATGTGGATAGCAATAACTCATTTTGTGGATTGTGGTGCATGCATTAATCTTTTCCACATTTGACTTTCTTCTTCTTGTTTCTTTTGTATCAGCAGTTTGAAACTGCTCAATAACCAATTTGAGCAAATGTTTCCTAATTCTGAACTGTTTGACGTTTTGAGCCATCCAAATTTTTCGGCTGAATGGCACAAAAATTGTCTAGTGTAGTCTAGTAGAAGAATAAATATATTAATAACTATTAACAGAAAGCCTAAAAAGACCACTTGATATATCCCTACCAAATAATAAGAATCAATCAATCAATCAAGAACAATGGTTATATTAGCTACAACACGCATTTTCCGAAAGTTCATGGGAGGGCACGTCACCCAGAGCCCGACAGTCGCGTATCACTGTAGTTTAACCCCTTTGATATCTGAGATGTCTGGGATGAGTAAATAATGTTCCCTTTAACAGTAGTTGGAAAGCCTTTTGGAGAATAAGTAATGATAATAAAATTTTTTAGACCCCGTGTGAAATTGAAGTCAAAATCAAATATTTTAGGTCGCTTGGGCAGCAAGACAACTGCTCTTTCACGGTTAAGATGTCTTTATTTTTAATGGAGCCAGTACGACCTGGATCCATCGGTTTCTCATCAACAAGTTGAAACAATTACTTGAAGATAGCCATAACGTTTTGATGGGTTGACAAAATTACTTCTTTCAACTCCCATTACTTTTATTTTAATATACTTTATCCTGTGGGGTAGTACGCTATGTACCTACAACTATCGTTAAGAGAATAACGATTAAACGCTGATTTACAATGGAATAGTAATAAGTGGAGATATGCCGAGTTGGTGCTTAGTTGTAAACTGACCTTCCAAATAGACGGTGACACGTGGAAGTAAAATAATAATGATAGCAATGACTAGATCAAGGCTAGCCAAAGGTACAGTTGCAGAATGATACCAAAGAAAAATGTTTAAGCGAGAAATGAGAGGCAGTGAACAAAGAATGAAAATTTTAAGTTACCATTTAATATTTTAACATATATACCTGTCAAAGTGTAAATCGGCTGTGAAATATGTAAGCGAAGCGTAGCTGCTCGTTAAATTGTTTGATATATTACTGACCTATACTAACTTATTTAACCAACCCAACTTTACCTGTTATTTTGGTTTTGTTGTTTGTCTCTGTTCTACATTGTTGTGCTACATCCGGAGAGGGCTTCCATCTGATTGAAATAATCGTTCCCGCCAAGAGGATTGAAATAATCTGGTTTGAACATAAAAACTATTCTAACTAAAAAAGGATCTTCGTTCAACCATATGATTTATCATAATATTTCCACCAATTTCATTATAGTTTAGAGGCAACCGCGCCAGTCTAGATACGCAGACTTGGCATATTAAAATAGTCGTAATTGTAGCCCACGGCTAAATACGATACGATCTGTCGAATTTGATTCCGATGCGTTGTTGCCCTTTATTATGTTTAATAGGTTTTCTTATAAAAAATGCTCCATATGGGCATTATGTAGATTGATCTCCTCAATTTGAGCGGCTTAAACCTTAACCTAATAAAAAACATTGGAAGGCCACTTCTTCCGCACCTTATGCCTTATTTTATTTTTATTATTTTAAGAAATGAAATGTTACATGTGGAGCGATCTAGTTGAAGAATAGAACACATACCCTTTACAAAAGTCATATATTTGTATTTTATACTTTTTTAAAAATTACTTAAAATTACATATAAACATATGATGGTCTCCGGAACAAGCCAGTGCTATATAGAGTGTTAGTGTGCCATTTCTTAAGGATTTTTTAAATAAAAGGTTATATTAAAGTTAAATTTTGATTTAAAATGCTTCGTTTTCGACATTCAGGGTGAACGAAAATTGGTACCTAAGCCTTTTGATGACATGAGGAGCTACCACATATGTATTATACTTATAATTTCTAAATAATTTTCACTTGAAAAAAAGGATCTTCTCTCATCCAGAAGTCGCTAGACTCCACCGTTTTCTGAATGTTTTGGTCTAAAATAGTTGTTTGTGATGTCATCTAAAATCTACCACGGTATTATTTAAGAAATTTTGTACAAATAATAAAAATAAAACCACGGAGCACGGGGTCTAAAGCATCTTTTTATCTCAAAAATAATCGAGAAATTATTCTCTCAAATATCGGACACCTATTAAATAACACCGTGTATAATGGGAGAGTTTGTAACTTTACTTTTAAGATTACAGATAAAAACCATCATTTGCAGCCCCCTCCCTGGATCTAGTAGTTATACTATTCAAAGGATTCCACTATGTGATTAAGATATCGAAGTAAAGCTAATCATAATAGAAGCAGAACGGCCTCTCTTTAGAAGTAGATTAGGTATATCGAAAATGTATTTACAACAGTGCCAGCCATGTAGGTCTACTAGTTTAACCATACCCTATAGTTAACATCAAAAAATTCTTTATTAAAACAAAAACCAAATAAAACATAATTTTGCAATTTTATCTACTTTTATCCCTTTCTTTTTTATTTCCAATGGTTTCTCCGTATTAACTTGATGGCACTGGTGAAAAGAGCGTTTTTAATTTACAAACTCAGCAGATAAGTCTTTCTTAGTAAAGTCGCAAGAATTTGGATTAATTAAATTTTATATAATTAAATTATATTATATAATGAAATATACCTTAGCTTTAAAATATTAAATTTTACTATTCATCCTTGACAAAAAAACTAGACTAGACGACGTTAGTTGTTAAGATGCTAAGAGCAACTGGCTGATATAATTCTTTGAAATTTATATGTCTCTGCTATATAAAAATGACACGACATGTTTTTTTTTAAACTACTTAGTTTGTGTTAGAATGCAATCTGCAATTCTACTACTTAACAAATCTCAGTGATCTTTATTCAAATATGCTGCGAAAATATGTCCTTTAAGAAGATCGTATTGTTATATTCACCCACTAAGATTGCTGGAGGGCGAGAGATGAGACTTTTCTCGTTGTTCCGTCGCGCCATGAGGCAATAGAGGGCGGGGTGAATAAAAAATCAGCTTATTGCCAATATCGAGAGCCGCAATTACACCAAATTGCTCTAAAGCGGATTTTTTGGCTGTCGCTGGGGTGTTATTTTTTATTTTATTGCTAATTGTCGGCGGACTGTAATTTTTTCAGGGACCGTTGAGGCAGTAAAAAATTATGGGGCGACCCTAATGGTTAAGTGTTTCCATATTTTCGGGGGCGGTTTTGATTTATGAGTCTTTTTTTAATTCCTTGTTTTTTGAACAGGTAACGCGCTGTGTTTCACAACTTATGCAGAATGGGAAACTAAATCGACGAACGAAAAGATTTAGTTATATAAAGTAAATGTTAAACAAAACTAATTAAAACTATTCAAGAATAGTAATTCTTTTTAATATAAGCGACC